GGGATGTTTACCCGCAAACGCATTCCATCTTAGGTAACGGACAACGCACAGCGCTGGAGCACTGTTGATTGTTCACTGTAAGGGATTCCCAACAGCATGTCAATTGTTACATTAACCTCCATTTTGATCACCTGCGCATGCCTTTCACGACAGCTCTCTTTGATTAGGATCGTATGGGATTTGGGATGTCATGCAGATAAGTTTTGAACTCTGACGACTCTGGCTCTAACGAATCCTTGGGTCAATATTTCACCTTGGAGATTGTTACCATCGACGTACAGCTTTTCTCACATCACACGGGTTAATTCAACATTTTAATGCTGATTTTTGGGTGTTGAATTTTTTATTTTGGGGGTGAATTTTGCTTCTCAAGTGCTGGAGACCGCATTACTGGACCAGCAATGCATCAACGAACGTTCAATTTTACACTTCCTTGCAATGGGCCAAGGCCAGCAACTTGATATCAATAAGGCCCTGACTTTGAAGGCGGTAATGTTAAGAACTCGCTTGAGGTTGGTATTGGCGCTATATTTTTTGTGCTGGAAATTTGACCTCGTATTGAAGTTACAGAAGTTCTACTTCCATGCACTGTAATAACTCACTTGGCGCTTGTAATAATACGCAACATGTTATTTTCTGGTCGAAATTGGGCCGCATTTTGGCGGCTCAAGCCCACTTCTTACTTACTGTGTTCTGTACCATAAACTTGGATAGCGTGCTGGGGTAAAGTTGTGCCACAGTGAAGGCGACTTTCATTGTGGCGTCTGTAACCACGTACAATAACTATGTTTAGAAACGGTGCTGAAGCCAACTGCACTCGAAAAAATAACTCACGCGACTAGCTAAGAACAAGGCTCAGATGACCCGAATCACACATGCTTTTCAGGCTGGTTGACGTAAGTTTTCTCACAAACGTGTGCTACATTTACCCCGGCATATTTTGATCTTCTCTCTCAAAATAGGAGACTGTTATTGAATGAATGATACTGTCACTTCACAGCCCGTAGAGGTTCCACAGGGCTTGATACAGGGCTGAAAGCGTGCAAGCACAGCAGCTGTTACTACATCACCTATATGGATAGCATGGGCTCTGGCATATGGCGCTCGTCTATAAAATGTAACGACGAGCTAGGGGCAAAGTTACCGAAACGAAAAGACTTCACTTGGATCTCATTGTGGATTTGAAATTCACTGAACATACATAGGCATGGTCGCCACCATATAGTGTCACTGCCTCAAATCGGGTTTGAAGGACAAGTATTAACACGTGTGGTATATCGGCGACCCGCTGTCGTCGGCCCCATGGCGTCGCGGTACTTCATGCCGCAGTTGCAGCTCACGCTGAACGCAACGCAGTATTTCAGTAGTGGGCGTCGCCCAGTGACTTGTATGCTTACATTCACAGCACCAGTGGCACTCAGCGGGCGCCTCAACGCGGCTTAAGCGGTGTAATGTGCAAGATCCAGCGCGGCATTCCCAGACCCCCTAGTGACAACATAACGTGACGGTCTTTGTCCGTCACAAACCGGACTTCAGTTCCTGCAAATTGAGCACGATTCAGTTTCGTCGTGCCTGAATTACTTGCCCGGTTATGTTTTATAATGAGGGCTATGCTCAGCGCTAGGCAAATGACACGCCCGCTGATGACGCAATAAGAAGACATTTACGTCCGGGCATCATGAGCTGCCATTGCAGCTCGATGCTCCTTCTAAACAACTTTCGGACTGCATCATGCTCTAGTGGTTGATGCATGACACCTGTGGGAGAAGAAGAGCGTAAGAGCGATCATTGACAAGCCTGAGGAATTCCAAGGGAAAACTGGCACAGAGTAATGAACCTAGGCGATAAAGGGACTTGCTGGTGTTCTTGTTTCATCAATCATCGCACAAGCAACATGTCTTTTAGGCGACATTTTTCCATTTTCACTCTCACAGCATTTGAGTTGGTGCGTCATACAACGTGGAACCTAATCGGAGACGATCGTGACTTGCGTTATTGTATTTCCAGCCGCTTCTTGAATGACAGCATCGAAATCAATGTCACAAGCCGCCACGCACTATTATTTACTCGGAGATAGACCGATGCCATTCATTGTAACAGCAAAGTATTCCCTTTTTGTCTAGGCATTAGGGCTGAACTCTCCGTTTTGGCCTCGTAATTCGAATATTCAGATGAGCCAATGTCAATATTCTAGTGGAATATTCCGGGCTTTTCGGACTCCGCCAGGTTCATACCCAGGCAAGTCATTTGCATGGTTGCGCGGAAGTATTAACATCAGTAGTTGTTCTGGTATGGACTGATGTCATTTGTCAGTCATCGTATGTACAAGGTGCATCACTTTGCACACAGGTGACAATGTGATCAACAGCTGAAGTGCGGGGGGGGGGGGGGCACAGTGTCTTGTGTTTTCGTTGTTTGCTGGACAGCGAAATTAGTGTAAAATGAAATACTGCCATTGAGAGCAAACTTGCCTTTGATTTGAGTATACTTATTACCACAAGCCGTTAGCAAAAAGAAACATCAATGACAATAAAATACACTATATAGTATATCACATACAGTGATTCCCTGGACAGAGTGTTTAAGAGACAGGCGTATGACCTGTTCTTCGAGCTCATTTCCTAAATAGTTACAAATGCGGCATGTCTCAAATTATGATTTTTCAGTTAACACGCCAAACAACATTTTTCATTCCAGCAACGAGCATAAATTAGTTCTTGTCAATCATATTCTTAATGAGCTGTTAAATAACCTAAAACTAGTAAAGGCGATAGCTTATCAGGTCAAAAACATAGAGCCAGAGAAGGTATACACCCAGATCTCGTGCAGACATTTATTACCAGTACAGACGTCGTTGTTAGAAGGAAGACGCCATTTAAGGCCAGTTATTCTATAGAACACCACGCGCGGGAGTGGCCGCGCCAGCAGTGCTGCATGTCATGGTAATTGGAGGCACTTGTCCCTTCTCCTGTCCCTGGCGGGGCGATTCCCTCCCATGGAATCACCCCGCCCGAGCACAGACACTTCTTACGGTCACGTTTACAGCCGACACTTTGACTGACAGAAAGATAATTACATTAACAAGATCTGCGGCCCGCTGCGGCCTTTACCTGGTGACAAAGAGACCACTCCGCTCAAACGTACATTTTTCTCTTACAAGGCGGGTTCAGATGAATGCTCTATTCCATGATGCTAGTCAAAATTATAGAACTGTAGCAGGGCACGCGTATAATTTCAGTGCCCGGCAGACTGTTATATCTTCCAAATGCATGGCTGTAACTAACGGATATTTATAGATACAGCAGCACCACCAACATTTCAGAAATTTGACATTAGATCTAGAATGTTGCATAGAAAAATGGACCAAAAAAGACATTTTCATTCGCAGCCCTCGTTGAAAAGTTTTGCCCATTCTTCCGTCAGCTCTCGAAAATTCTAGTAACTCAACGACCCATATGTATATATATATATATATATATATATATATATATATATATATATATACTTTTGAATCCTTCTGGTTGTCGTTATTGTGTGACGTTGTGAATCAAGCGGCCCAGATACCTGTGATTTTAATCGTTCTGGTTGTCGTTATTGCATGTGTCGTCGTTAACTAAGCAGCTCAGACATCTGTACATTTGAATCCTTCTGGCTGCGACCGGAGCACACGCAAGTTCGCGTCTGTGTGTTGGGAGCGGCTCTCGCAGAACCAATATTTTGTGTTTCAATTTTACCAGTTGTACAGCTGTTACAACTGCGTGCCCATTGCCAACAGACCACCGGGCGCGCCTGAATACATGGGGTTGGAAGCTGAACTGACCCATTACGCTCCTTCAGTATGCTACAAATCCCACCTTCCCATCTCTACATCATCGTGGGGTCGCTCACGGCGCGTTCTAAATCTGCGCATCCTTTCACCCGTTCTGATCACCTCAGAATAAAGAGACAAGCGTAAGAGGTGAAATGTATGAACAAGTCACAACCCATGCCCCCCAGTCCCAGATCACGAGCCCTATTTTAGATTATCACACGACTCTGCGCCATATCACACAACTAGTACGCTGGGAGGTGGGGCGGGACTAGGAGACGGGTAGGCCCCAGGCGGTTGTTTGCGACGGGGCTCCGCGGTATTCCCCGATGCGCTGAAATATGTGCGCTGGGTACAAGGTTCTCGTCAAAAGGATGAGATGAAAGACATCGGTGAAGCCAAGCTAGACAGCAGCAGTGATCGGCATCAGTGCGCTACCACACGCAGATCTTAGATATCGGAGGAGCATTGTGGCCTGGTCACAGCCCGTCAGTAATGCCACCCTCATCAAACCAGTATTCACACCTGCATGACATTGCTAGTAGTACGCTCCAATCGTCTTTAACTGGCTGCAGCGGTGCACAGATCTTCCACTCGGGTTCGGCTGGGTTGAAGCCCGTAGCTGTACTGCCCGTGCCATCTGTTGAGTAAATTGTAATATTTATGCCATGCGGCACACTATAAAATCGGGCGCGAGACTCTAATGACATCTAGCGGAAAAGATTGAACCAACGCCTATCCATCGGCAGGCGTCTTTCCTACTTTGATTCCATGGTCTTTGCTCATACTAAATCAATTTCTATAAAGCATGACAGCTGATACGAGATTATTGCCCATACTAATGTGCAAATAAGGCCCTGTTTTGATAACTTTTATCTTACCTGTCGCTTGTGGCGCGCTATTTCGCCGTAGGTTGTGCTCAGGATGGAGCGATGCCACACAATTGCGTAGCCAGTTGTGTTTTGTTATCTGAAGCGGTTTGCTTGATGCATTATGCAGTCAGAATATACATCCTTTGCATGGATAATCTATTGTTGTTATTTATACCTATCTATGTTGCCAGTTAGTGGGTACCAAAAGGCACCAAAATTGTCCAGCGTAATCTGAGTGGAATGGATTCACAGCTGACACGGATATACCACGGCACTCTTGTGACATTCTGTAAGAAAATCGCGACGTTGAAAGAGACACAATGACGGTTGGTTGCAATACGCATTGTGATTTTTTACTGTGGCATGACATATGTGCATTGATTGTACATTTCCCACGTACAACTGGCTTATTTTCTTTCTTGTTAAGAACATAGACCCCCAACTTTGAAAATACGACACCGGTGGCTTTCTGTCTGTGTACGTGGGCTTTTATGAAATGCGATTACAAGATCAGGTAAACATTTTCCGTGGAGGTTTCCCGTCGCATGCGATTTTATCGGTAACCAAGACAGACCACCAGCTTCCTGATTGACGTTGTCTATCATTCTTGCTTTGATAGCGTGTTTTGCTTTTCTCGGAGACGGACGATCTCCGGTCTTTCACAGACAGCAATCCATTTCCAAAGCGATGTCAATGGCGTCCTGCTGCCGACTCCCACACCGAGCCCGTCAAAACCGTCCGAGAGTTCCATCTCATCCCTGGCACGGTTTGCGCGCTGGCGGCGCTGCCCAAGGCAGCCCCGAACCGCGATCGGCTTCCGCCCAGCGACCGGAAGTGGTCCGCTTCCGGTGCCGCGGGCGTCCCGGTCATTGCCGCGACTGGGGCCGCTCGTCCAGCGAATCCTTCCGGCGGCAGGGGTGCCCCTGAGGAGAGCCGGACCGGCCGACAGGGGGGATGATGCATGGCCACTGAAGAGTGGACAGGGGACCGGTGGCCGGCCAGAAATATACGGCTCAAAGGTCGTTCATCTTGTACTGTGGCGGCGCGCTCCGTGAACTGGGGAAGAGCGCCGCTGGCCAGTCGACCCGAGATCTCGCTGTACTGGAACGGGTATAGCACTTGTCAGATGCATTTCGGGCGTCTGAGGCGAGGGAGCAGTTTTGTATACCAGGATCGGTAAGCGACCCACCACTGATACACAATTTATCTAACACCGTTTGTTCGGAGAAACTGTTCAAAACGGGCTAGACTTTTTGCGGGAACGAAGAGACACTTTGGCCACGCACTGCGTCCACGCACGAGTGAAGGGTAACGCTGAAAAATGTAAAGAGCAGTTTTGAAACAGGTCAGAGACGGACAGAAATGGTCGCATGCATCTAGGCAATTAGGCAGTCGCGTTTTTATCGGCGTAATGTGTGAACAAACTTGCATAAAGCCCTCTTAGACGGGGACCTTGTTATGTGAAATAACTATCATTTGTACGCCCTGGCATGTCCCAGATAATATCCGGCAACCAGGTTATCCCGCATCCTTCCAAACAAAATCATACGGGTTCTGTGTTCTTCGCATTGCCGCCATCACACTTTTACTGTAAGGCGCCTCTGTCCGTCAGTTCGCTTTGCATCTGTTTCGCTGGCCACTTCTGTGGTTTAATCCGGGCAAAAACGCACAATTTACACACGGTACACAGCACGCATGAGACCACGGGCATCGTGAATCGAAAAATGGCAGTCTGTTGTTATTGTGACCGATGAGTATGAGGCACGTGTGAAAATATCAGTTGTGTGCCTGGTGCAATACCGTGGGCCGCGACCCGAGTGGCACGGCTCGACTCTAGTGATCTCTTCCGGGGGTCCGGACCGCTTCAAACCACTGGCTGCTACGGCCTGGCTGCCGGCTCGTCGGCCGCCGCCGTCGCCGCCGCCGCCGCCACATCCCACCGGGGCCGCTGCCCGCTCGCCAAGTAATGGATTCCGGCAATTTAGTATACGTACTTGACGTTTTTATTAGCGCCGCCATTTGTCGGGTGACTTGGTACCCCTTGACGCTGGATTTGAGCGGCGCTCCGGTTGTACGGGCCGCCGCCATGTTTGGTGCGCTTGAGGGCAAGTGGTGTAAATTGAGGCGTAGCGTTCGGCGTTTTTGTCTCCGTTTATGGGAGATGAGAAGGAAGAGCCTCGCGATGAAGCGGCAGAACAAGGAGGACAAAGGACACTTAAGATGCCTTTCATCATTGTGACCGGTGTGTGTTTAATGCAGCGGAGCTTCGCACAAAAAGGAATTGAAGTAGTTGGACTGGTAAAAGTAACAGACGCATGTGTCGCAATAAGGGCATTAAACCAATTTTAGGGCTGCTGTGTACTACTCCTGTATCTCTCGTGTATGCGCCATAACAAGACCTAGAAATTGCTCCCAGTTGGCGTAAGCAAATTACATACTGCGCGTAATCTTTAAGCTTTTATAATGGAGTGAAGGACTTTCTTCTCCTTTGCATTTCAATGCAAAGGAGCTAGAAAGTGACTTGGTTTGATTTGACCAGAATGTTTGGACGCCATGTCTTGGTCGTGGTACTGCTGTAAGCTAATATGACATGATATTAGGTTGTCTGGATGTAGGGATATCTTCGCATGAAATTATAAAAGAAGGAATTAAAAAGTAGCGTCTTTTAGGGGCACTACGGAAAGAGACAAATAAGAGCATGGAAGCCCAACTGTCGCATGTTCACAGCTTCTCCAAAGCTCTCTGCCCCATTGACCATCTGTAATGCTCAGTGTCCCTCTGCCACTTGAAATTTCTTATGGGAATTCTGCGATCGTGCTGAGGTTCGCACAATCTGAAATATCTGTGATGACGCGTCCAACAATAGGCCAATTGTAATAAATGAGAAACGTCATCCATTTCTAGAAAACACTTAACCCGAGAATATAGCTCCCTTAGTTCATTATCTTTGTGTTGCGCAGTTTCTCGGCATTCCTTTTCGTTTAGTTGCTATGCATTTTTCCACTCTATGCCATCAGTATGACCGAACACTTGTTACCAAGAAAAGAAGCACAATCTGCACACATTTGTGATCCAAGAGGGTCAAGGATCTTCCATGCTGGTTATTAAATCCCGTTTTTGCGTTTTGCAACGGGAAGCTAATTCACGCCATCCGTCGTTACGCGTTCGAGGCTGCTTACAAATACTAACGCCCAATACTCCATGCTGCTAGACCTGTGTCGTGCGTCCGAGTTAGAGGGCGTGATGTCCAGCCGTGGCATGTGTGGGTCAGGGGACACGGACATACCACTCAGGGGCGGGGAAGGGGGGGGGGGGCGATCCGTGCGTGGCCATGGCCATGCACGGACAAGGGCGGGAGTCAGGGAGCACGCGCGGCCCGCTGGGAGGGCAGGGCGGGGGACAGCGGCGCGGGGCGGCGTCCATCCGGCCGGAAAACTAGCGAATCACGACGTCCAGGCGGCCAAGATTGATGCGCCATAAAGCGCGGCCGTGTTTCCTGGCCTTAATGCGACGACTCGGCGGCGCCCATTACGCCTGGACGCAGGTCGCCGCCGGCGCGCCGCCCGACGAGAAATTGAATGACCAAATTGGAGTTGACAGAGCGTGCTGTGTCGGGGGGCGGCAGCCGGCCCCCGGGTCAGGCAGGGCCTCCGCCGGCAATTAGCTCGGCCGCTGCGCCGGGGAGAGGCGGGCCGGCGCCGCTCGGCCGCCCCCGTCGCCGGGCCCGGTGACAAGTGGGGTCGTTAGGGCGGCGAGAGCGCATCGGCGCCGACGGAAGCGGGGCGCCGCCGGCCGCCGGTCATTTCCCGGCGTCGGTGGACAGCGGCCGCAGACGCACAATAGGGACACGCGCCGCGCCGGCCGCTGCCCGCGGCGGCCAGGATTGCCGGCCGGCGCCCGCTCCGCGGCGCACTGCTGGGGTCAGCACGCCCGGCGCCGGCCGCCGGCCGCGCACGTGCAAGGTGGAAACGCGGCCGCGTCGAACGATGGAGTCCATTTGGGGGGAGCCGTGGGCTCGCGGCTCGTCCTGTTTTGTTCCGGTCGCTAATGGTACCTTTGTTCGGGCCGGCTGGAGGCCTTTCAGTCGCGGCGATGGGGCGAACTGTGTTGCGATGGGTTGAGTTCTTCCATCCTTTCACCGGTGAAAAAGAATACCTCATGTTGCGAAGGCTCTCCGTGTTCAAATAGTAAACTGCGGAATTAGAAACTAAAGGATTGACGAAACCCGCCACGCGTTCCCAGAAACGGCGCGTCCCACTGTAATGCGACCTTTTGAACCCGACTGTCACTGGCGCAAGACATCTTCGAGAGGCACGGCCGCAATGGCGCAGGCAGCCCCAACAAAACACCCTTAAAACAGGTGGCGGCGGCGCGATGCTGCGTATTTGTTGGGGCGTTGGAGCATCGGCAGCGGCATAGGTGTCACAATAATTAGTCGATATCAGATGGTAATCGGGCGTCCGGTGCGGCGGCCCGACTAAGCCGCTCCCGGCCTAAACTGATTAGCCGCCGACAGGGTCCGGACGAGCGTAAAGCGCCGTCGCAGCCGTTCTGTGCAGCGGCGCATACGGTCGTGCGCCACATTAGCCTCGGCCGGCTGGTGGGCGCGGAGCGCCGGCCGAGCGGCGGCACATCGCAGTGGCAGGCTGTCAGCGTGTGCGTCTGCGGTCTGGTCTGGTCTGGTCTGGTCTGGTCCGCGGCGCAGGCAGGCTCGGGCCGCCCCTGAGGATGATGTGGTGGCGCGGGAGACAGAGCCACGCCGGCGGAGCTGATGTGCGGAATGTAACAAGTGGATGTGGGTTTTGGTAATGGGACGGGCCGCAATGGTGGACAGTAGGTAACTTTACCACTTGCAAAGGGTGCGCGCCGTTGGTGGAGACTGGATGTCGGTGGTAAAACGCAGTACTTTCTGAGCGTCACGATTCTTTTCAAATGCGCCATAGGATGTATGCTAAATCTCATAACCTCGTCAAGCATCAATTTACGAGCTAAACTACGTTAAATCCATATTGATTAACATTTGCTCGTGGGCATGCGCACGACCTTCGCATGGCCGATTGCCCGGTTCACTCGCGCCGGATGAAAGCTTTCAGGAGCCGTGTTCCCGCAGCTGATCTATGCTGTCAACACCATGTCCCGCCGGGAAGTCACCTTAGGGCTGAGCGCTCGCCCCTTCTGGCGGCGGTTGATCGGTGCTAAACCGTTGGTCGTTCCGTTGCAGATGCACGGGTTCTGTCTGGACGGCGCCGGCCCGCCGCCCGGCCACCCGGCCTTTTCGGAGGCCGAGGTGCGGTACGCCCACGCCCGACGACCTGATGGTCGACTGTCCCGAGCAGCAGAGCGACCTCTCCAGCCACAGCGACTGACCCTGCGGTCAGCGGTGACGGGCGCCCGGCCGGCCGCGGCGCCGCCCCCGCCCCTGGCCCCGGCCCCGGCCCCGGCCCCGGCCAGCTCGGCCAGCTCGGCCAGTTGTGATTACGTTGTGTTAGGTTCAGTTGCCGACGGCGGGTGAGCGTTTGGTTCTGTCGGCGGTCGCGGACCGCCAGACATGCGGCACGGTTTGGGCTGAGGCATTCCGGCGTTTGATTGCGGGCGCAATTTTTTGTGATTCAGAGGAACCCATGAGGAGGCGGTCGTTCCCTTTCGTTCGGCTTGCAGACGGTTTCGGGAGATAACGCAAACCAACGGCTTTGAGACCCTGGCCACCTTTTGTTCGGAGAATCTTCTACCACTTCAAGTACAAAGAGAGAGTCAGTGATAAGGGTGTGTTGGCTCAGCACCAAAGTTCCTGGCGAGTGTGACGGTAGCGCCGCTTTAGCACGCCCCCGGCCGGGCCCGACCAGGGGGCTGGGAGAGGCCGGGCCCCCCGCCTCCGACAGTTTCATACGACAGCTCCGTCACGTCCGCGTACTGTCACAGTGCCGCACGTTGTTAAGTTTGCGCGGCGCGCGTGGCTGGACTCCGACGCCAGTGACCTCCAGCGCCAGCGAACCTCCGACCGGTCAACGGACGAACGTGTGCGATTTTGGGCTCGAGTGGTGCTCACCGCTAGCCGGGTTCACATCGTCGCGCTCGCGCGCGCCGCCTCGCACCAGCTCATCAGCGTGATCTGTCTGGGCGGTACGACAGCCGCCGCCGCCCGATCCTCGCCAGCATGCTCACGGGCGAGAGTGCTTCTCGGCCAATCTCACACACACACATCATCGTGGAATTACCTAGGCATTGATATGCGCGGGGCGGGCGTTCCGGCCCGCTTAGCTTCCGTGCCCGGCATTATCGGTTCATGTTTGGTGTGCGTTCGTGTGTGTGCGTCTTGCTGCGAGACGAGCGCGGTCTGTTCACCCGGATCAACAAAAGCGACGGCCAGTCCATTTTGCAGCGTGAGTTCGCCGATCCGGCGACCCGTTCGCTCCGTCGGGTCACGTACGTGTGTGGGGGGAGGGGGAGGGGATAGCCTGACCGGGACAGCTCGAGCCCGGCCGGTGATAGGCCGAGCCGTGCGCGGGAGGCGTGAGCTCTCTCTGGGCTGTACTCTGGAGTGTTGCACGTCCGTGCGGGCGAGGCTCTGGTTGTGTGGCGAGCCTGGGTGGTCTGTGTGACCGGTCGCTGGGCCCCCCAGCGACCTGATGTGACATCTGACCCCACTCTGGGCACATTGCCCGCCGGGAGATAATACACAACATGTACGCTTTCGCCCGCTCTCTGATGGAACAGCCAAGGCTGTAGACAGATTTACGAAACGCGCTTGAAGGAAATGCTCTCTTGCTTTACGCAGCACGCCATGACTCAGCGCTTCAGAGATTAGGCGTTCTGCGGTCTGACGAGGCCTGCCACCAGTAGCGGTAAGCAGCGTGTGAGTGCACACAGTGCCCTGAATGAGTTAATGAACTTCACTGCTAAGCGAGGCTACATACAGACGCTTTAGTAACATGCGTGCACTCTGCTAGGTAAACCCACCTGTATTTCATTGCCCGCCTATCACCCCGAACGCGATAGTGCAACGATGGCCAGCGGATCGGCTTCAGATAAAGCTGAAGCGCTTGGGCGTACGATCTCATATTACATGCAGTAGCAAACATAACTGCGACCAACTCGACGGAAACTTTAAACTCTACATTTAACAACAATCCATCGAATAAAATCAGCCAGAACCGGACGCGTACTGAGTTTGGGCCGAGAGCGACAGTACAGCCACAAATCTCCGCCATAGTCCACGCTTGCCATGGCACGAGATCACCCCACCCCCACCCATCAGCGAGCCGCTGCCCGCAACACCGTCGTCGTATTTGCGTTACGGCACGCTCCTGACCTAGCAGCGGCGCCGCAGAGCCTGTCGCGCCGTCGCGCCGGACGCAGGCGCCGCCCTCCCCGCCGGCGCACCCTTTCCCGGCAACCTTTCCACGCTAAAAGCCTCGGAAATTCGATTAGGCCGACTTCCCATGCATTAGGCGGCCGCCGTCGGCTCGCCCCTGCTCCAGGAGCCGATGATGTCACAGCGTCGGCGGCGACGAACCGGCGGTAGCGGCGGTCGACGCGCTCCCTGTGCACCCGGGACGGTCCGGCGCCGGTTGACGCGCTCTCGACGCACCCGGAACGTTCCGGCGCCGGCTGACGCGCTCTCGACGCACCCGGGACGTTCCGGCGCCGGCTGACGCGCTCTCGACGCACCCGGGACGGTCCGGCGCCGGCTGACGCGCTCCCTGTGTACCCGGGACGGTCCAGCGCTGGCTGATGCGCTGTCGACGCACCCGGGACGGTCCGGCGCCGGCTGACGCGCTCCCTGTGCACCCGGGACGTTCCGGTGCCGGTTGACGCGCTCTCGACGCACCCGGGACGTTCCGGCGCCGGCTGACGCGCTCTCGACGCACCCGAGACGGTCCGGCGCCGGCTGACGCGCTCTCGACGCACCCGGGACGTTCCGGCGCCGGCTGACGCTCTCTCGACGCACCCGGGACGTTCCGGCGCCGGTTGACGCGCTCTCGACACACCCGGGACGGTCCGGCGCCGGCTGACGCGCTCCCTGTGCACCCGGGACGGTCCGGCGCTGGCTGATGCGCTGTCGACGCACCCGGGACGGTCCGGCGCCGGCTGACGCGCTCCCTGTGCACCCGGTACGTTCCGGCGCCGGCTGACTCGCTCTTGACGCACCCAGGACGGTCCGGCCGCCGACTGACGCGCTCCCTGTGCACCCGAGACGGTCCGGCGTCGGCTGACGCGCTCCCTGTGCCCGGAAACGTGCCGCGCTGCTGACGCTCTCTCGACGAACACGCGAGGTCCGGCGGGCTGACGGCGCCTCTCGACACATCCGGGACGGTTCGGCGCCGGTGAGGAGGCTCGACCACCGGGACGGTCCAGCACGGTTGACGCGCTTCGACGCAAAGAGAAGGTCGGGGCGGACGACGCTATCGACGCAGGGACGGTCCGGCGCCGGCTGACGCGCTCCTGTGCACCCGGGACGGTCCGGCGCGGCTGACGCGATCTCTACGCACCCGGGACGGTAGCGCCGGTGA